GACCTGAGCCGAAGGTAGATGCTTAACGACCAAGCCACCCAGGCGCCCCATCTCCAACCCATTTCACCCACCTCTTACAGTATTTGTCTTTCTCCGCTTGACTTACTTCACTTAGCCTAATGCCTTCAAGGTCCCTCCATGTTGTCACAAGTGGCAAGATTTCCTTCTTTTAAATGGCTGAATACTTCACTGTGATGTAGATATATCTCCATCCATCCATTGACACTTAGGTTGTTTCCATATCTTGGCTATTTTAAACAATGCTGCATTGAACATGGGGATGCAGATACCATTTCAAGATAGTGATTTAATTTCCTTTGGTATAAAACTATGGAAAGAGTCAAAATGTCCATCGACAGATGAATGGATAAAGAAGATGTGGTATATATACACAATGGAATATTATGCAACCATCAAAAAAACCAAAATCTTGCCATTTGCAACAATGTGGATGGAGCTAGAAGGTATTATGCTGAGCAAAATAAGTCAATCAGAGAAAAACAAGTATCATATGATCTCACTGATATGAGGAATTCTTAATGTCAGGAAACAAACTGAGGGTTGTTGGAGTGGTGGGGGGTGGGAGGGTTGGGGTGGCTGAGTGATAGACATTGGGGAGGGTATGTACTATGGTGAGCGCTGTGAATTGTGTAAGACTGTTGAATCACAGACCTGTACCTCTGAAACAAATAATACATTATATGTCAAAAAAAAAAAAAGAAGAAGAAGAAGAAGAAGAAGAAGATAGTAGGAAGGGAAAAATGAAGGGGGGGAAATTGGAGGGGGAGACAAACCATGAGAGACTATGGACTCTGAGAAACAAACTGAGGGTTCTAGAGGGGAGGGGGGTGGGGAGATGGGTTAGCCTGGTGATGGGTATTAAAGAAGGCACGTATTGAATGGAGCACTGGGTGTTATACGCAAACAATAAATCGTGGAACACTACATCAAAAACTAATGATATAATGTATGGTGATTAACATAACATAATAAAATTTAAAATAAATAAATAAATAAATAAATAAATAAATAAATAAATAAATAAACAAAATTTTTAAAAAAAGAAAAAAATAATTTCCTTTGGTATATATATATATACACACACACACATATATATATATATACCCAGAAGTATATACTAAATATATATATGTACCAAATATATATATATACACCCATAAGTGGAATTGCTGATCATATGGTAGTTCCATTTTAAATTTTTTGAGGAATCATTATATTGTTATCCATAATGGCTTCACCAATTTACATTCGCACCAATAGTGCACAAGGGTTCCCCTTGCTCCACATCTTCATTAGCATTTTTATCTTTTGTTTTTTTGATGATCACCATTCTAACAAGTGTGGGGTGATATTTCATTTTTGATTTGCATTTCCCTAACAATTAGTGATGTTGAGTACCCTTTCATGTGACTCTTGGCCATATGAATGTCTCCTTTGGGAAAATGGCTATTCAGTTTCTCTGCCCATTTTTAAATAGGATTGTTTGGGTCTTTTTTACTATTGAGTTGTGTGAGTTTTTTATATTTTTGGAAATTAGCCCCTTCTCAGATAGATAATTTGCCTGGCTATTTTTTTAAAATTTTATATTTTTTATTATAGACAGTTGTAAGTTACATCTTTTGTTGCCTGGCTATTTTTGAATAGCCTGAAGTTTACCCTGTGGCGGCAAAGCCTGTTTCATTAACTTGGAAATTCTAGTACTTTAAACAGTGCCTTGAACACAGCAGATACTCATTACATGATTAGTCTATTAACCTTCCAAAGAGGACAGAAGTTTTAAATATTTTGTTTTGAATTATTAAATATTTCAAATATAAGGAAAAGTAATGAAAGTCATACAATAGATGCCCAGATACCCACTGTCAGATTTATACAATTTAACATTTCGCCAAATTTTCTTCAGTTCTTTATTTCAAGATACAAAATGTTAATACTTACTTCACCCCATTCCACCCTCCACTACCACTCACCGCCAAAGCAATCCGCCTCCCAAGTTTGTGAGTTCCACCTGGCCCCAACCTTATCACAATACGTTTATTATATAAGTATGTATTTATAAATAATGATAATAAGAAATAATAAGACCATTATTTTGCATGTGATTTTATGTTTTATAAATGATGTCAGATTGTATGTACACTTTAGAAATTCGCTTCTTTCGTTGAATGGCACATTTTTGAGATTTATCTGTGTTGATGCCTGTGGATCTAGTTCACTTACTTTGTTATTTAGCACCATTTATTTATCCATTCCTTTATTATTCGATATTTAACTTTATTCCAATTTTTATTATTACAAGTTTCCAGTTTCTGCTCTTTGTTACCTCCATGAACATTCTTATACTTCAAAGTTTCTCTGAGTGACGAACCTGAAAGTGCAGGTGCTGGGGTCGGAGAGGGAGGGTGAGTTGGAGGAAATGGTCAGTAGCTTCATTTTTGCTAGATATTGCTGAATTGTCTCCAAAGTGGATGTACCAATTTACAGTCCCATCAACACTGCATAAGAGCTCTTTGGCCCTCTCCTCATGCTTGATATGATTAGTCTTGTTAATTTTTGCTAATCTGGGTATAAAATGATATTAGTTGTTTTAATTTGCATTTCCCTTATTCACTTAAGGTTTAGGGTCTTTTTATATGGATAATGGTTGATGCATGTCCTTTGTTCATTTTTAATTGAGTCACGTGTCTTTTTCTTTTTAATTTGTAATAGTCTTATATATTATGGATCATGATACTCTGTTGCTTCTATGCACTGCAAATATTTTCTCTTAATCTGAGATCTGTCCTTGAACTTTGTATTTACTAGTTTTTGTCCCACATTCTTTTTTTAAATTTTAATGTGGTAATATACTGTCAGACATTTATGGTTTGTGTTTTTATGTCTTGATCAACAAATCTTGCCCTTATCCTATGTCATAAAAATATTTTTCTTCAAAAAATTTTAAAGCATTTATTTTCACATTTAGCCTCCACTCCATCTGGAATATATTTTTGCAAATGATTGGAGATAGGGATCAAATTTTATATTTTTCCCAAGGAAAGTCAGTGGTCACAGCACTGTGACTAAATCTTTTACCCACTGATGTGTACAGCCACCCCCAACATTTTCATATATATTTCTTCTGGGCCTTCTACTCTCTTCTATCAGTTTATTACTGTTAAAATTACTACAGTTTATAAATCCTGATATTTGGAAAAACGGGTTCTCCCCTTACTCTTCAGTGAAATTATCTCAGCTTTTTGTGCTCCTTTAGACTTCCACATGAATGTTTATAGTCAGTCTGTTAAGAATAGTTGAGATTAGAGTACACGGACCCTGTATGGTAACTGGGGAACACTGACATCTTGAAGCTGTGTCTTTGTGTCTAATATGGTGTATCTCGGAGAGGACATTTCCGTCAGAACAAGCTCACTAACATCTGGGACAGACTGGCTTGTCTTCCAGCCTGAGATGACAAGACCAACCCACCTCACAACTCAGCTGGGAGAAAATTTAAAAGCATGAGGATGTCTTGGGGCACCTGGGTGATTCAGTTGGTTCAGCGTCTGCCTTCGGCTCAGGTCATGATCCCAGGGTCCTGGGACTGAGCCCCACATCGGGCTCCTTGCTCAGCGGGGAGCCTGCTTCTCCCTCTGCCCCTCCTCCTCTGTGCTCTCTTTCTCTCTCTCTCTCTGACAAATTAATAAATAAAACCTTTAAAAAAATTTTTAAAAAAGAAAGCATGAGGATGTCTCTTGCACGTATACACCCTTATACCCTTGATCCCAAATGTCAGGGAACTAAACTGCAGGTCACACACTACTGAAATTCACCTTGACTAACCACGGGATGAAACCTACGATGACACCCGAGAGGGAGGGGTAAAATCCTCACCCTACTCTCCCAAATGAGATGAACTAGCTTACTTTGAGGGCATAATCACAATAAGTGATTCAGTGTGTGTGATTTCCTCCTTTTGAGGAGAATTCAGAAGAAACAGAAACTGTCTTTTCTGGCTTCGGGTCCTAAATTAATTGAGGGTCAATCCTCTTGTTTCCCCAGGCTTGTGGAGTTGCTACAATCCTGGCTCCTTCCATGGAAGGTGACACTGCATGGAACTGGTTAACTGAGTCACAGAGTAAATCATCCCTCATCCTTAGCAAGTACCTCATAGCCTGTTGCCCATTTGGGGCATGTATTGAGCCCTCCTGTTCTTTGCAGGGCCTCGAGGGGAAGGCATTTCAGTAATCCCCGTCTCATGATGCCTACCTGCAAAGTACAGCCATGCTGTGACCTCACCAAAGCTGCTTGGCCCCAGGGTCCCCGAGAATCAGAGGCAAAAAGGGCAGGTCCACATGAGTGGATCCTTCACATTTTCACCGGATTCCCTCCCCGTCCCATCAGGGTGTTCCAGCACCCCACCCCCACCCCAAATCCTAGGCGACTCTAGTTCTGCCCTGGTGAGCTGTGACCCCTCTCCTGGTGACCTACAGAGTGTTCACCTTTAATAAATTTGCCCAGAGTCCTAGAGGATGGGGAAAAGGGCAGCGCTGGAATTGGAAAGTGCTTGGGGACATTGTTGTTCCTGCAGCCCTGGCCCCGGGGCCACCACGGGGATGGTTCACTCACTTCAGATGAGCAGCCCAAGTGCTGAGGTTAGAGGAAGTTGCTTACGTCATGTGACCTCCTGAGGAAAAGCACCTTTAATCTCCTTTCATTGTTTTAAAGTTTAATAAAAATACTATCCATACGATTTTGTCAGAAAAACTAGTAGTTTGCTACTCGTAACTAATAGTTGTTTCCCAAATCCACCATCACCACATCAGCTGGCATAATATCACAGCGTTTTCTGTGCGTTCATACACATGCCCACACCCACATGCACACACGTAACTTTTATATAAAAGAATCATAATGTATATATTGTTCTGCAACTCATTTTTCACTTCATATATGTTAGAATTTGTTTTATTCCAGAACATATGAATGTATAGACTTACTTTTAACTGTTACATGGTATTCCTTTAGGTCAGTGAACCGTAATCTAAATTCCCACCGCCGCATTGATGAACGGTGGGTTTTCTCCAAAAATTCACTTTATAAGCAGGGCTTCATGAGTGTTTTTATAACTGCCTCATTGTGTACAGCTGTGAGGAAGCACATTTTGCTGCACACATAGCCAGTCACAATGTTGCTCAGGCATATGCTGGAAAAACATTGAGAAGTAGTTATTTATATGGATAGCACAAGGCAACAAGTAAAAAGAGTTACAAATACGATAGATATTAATCTAACCACACCAATAATCACTTTCAATGGCAATGGTCTAAATACACCAACTAAAAGACAGATCGTCAGGATATAAAAAACAAGATCCAACCATATATCGTCTACAAGAAGCCTAAAGGTAAAGTCTCAGATGGGTTGCAAAAGGATGGGAGAAGCTGTATCATGTTAATGCTTATCAAAAGAAAGGTGTTTCTTTTATAGATATATTAATTTCAGATAGGGCAGACTTCACAACAAGAAAAAGTATCAGGATTAAAAAGGGGCGTTACATAATGTTAAAGAGTTCCGTTCTCTGAGAAGACTTAACAATCCAACATGTATGCACCTAACAACAGAGTGTCAGAATCTCTGAGACAAAAACTGGCCTGACTGCAAAGAGAAAGAGACAAATCCACTATTATTGTTGGGTATCTCAAATCCTTCTCTAAGCAATTGATAGGTCCAGCAGACAGAAAATCAGTAATGAGCTAATCGACATGAACAGTACTATTAACAAACTTGATTTAGTTGACATTTATAGAATACCCCATCAAACAACAGCAGAATACAATTTTTTCCCAAGCTCACACAGAATATTTCCCAAAACAGACCACATTCTGAACCATAATACAGACCTTAACAAATTTAAAGGAATAGAAATAATACAAAGTATGGTCTCAGATTACAATGAAATTAAGCTAGAAATCAGTAACAGAAAGATATCTGGAAAATCCCTAAATATTTGGAGATTAAACAACAAAATTCTTAATAACACGTGGGTCAAAGAATAAATCTCAAAAGAAATTGAAAAATATTTTGAACTAAATGAAAATGAAAACACAACTTACCAAAATGTGTGGGATGCAGCAAAAGTGGTGCTTTGAGGGAAATTTACAGCATTAAATGCCTGTATTAAAAAGGAAGGAAGATCTAAAATCAATAACTTAAGCTTCCATCTTAAGAAATGAGAGAAAGAAGAGGAATTTAAGCCTCAAACAAGCAGAAAAAAAAGAAAAATGAGAGCAGAAATCAATGAAATGGAAAACAGGGAAACAATAGAGAAAATCAATAAAGCTAAAAGCTGGTCCTTAGGAAAGATCAATAAAATTGATAAATTGCTCGCCAGGCTAACCAAGAAAGAAAGGGAGAAGACACTAATTACTAATATCAGAAATGAAAGAAGGGTCATCTCTACTGATCACATGGACAGTAAAAGGACACTGAAGGTATACTATAAATGGATGGGGCTACTCGTATATGACAGACTGGGCCATTCCTCATCTGGTTAGTCCCGGAAAAAAGCAAAAGACTCCAGCTTCCTACACCTTACTTTCCCCTCCGTCTCCATCAAACTCCCTTTATCTTGGGGACAATGAAACAGGAATCTATCAATACCAGGAAAATCATGTAATCTCACTAGACATCACTTTCCCCCATATTTCAGCCCAATTACCCTAAGAACTCACCACTCTAAAAAAAATGTTTTTAAAGCAACACACACACACACACACACACACCCCTTGATTGTATAAGCTTGAGGCTCCACAGTACCCCTACCTGCTTTGTGTGTCACACTGAAAGTTCTGCTCAGGACCGGGGGCAGCAGAGTGAGAGGGAGAATTCATGGTATCTGGTTTGATGGGCTGGATTTTTTTCTTTTTCAATAGGTGTTTTGCAGGAGAATAAACATAAGCATAATTCCTAGGATGTAAGACTTAAAAGAGATTAACCTCCTCACATTACAAGTCAGAAAACAGAAGTACAAAAGGACAAGAACAAACAACCCACATACGACAGAGAAAATTCAATGATCATCAGACTTGCAGGGGAAAAAAAGGCAACTTCAATAAAAATCAAAGCAAATTTTTTAGAAGTATCCCATTTCTTATCTCAAAAATAAAACTGTCCTGCTTTTGGTTTTGTTAATTTGACACCTGCTATGGACCAGAGTTCAATGAAGCAAGCACTCCCATGTGGTAGCCAACCGTGTGCATTTGTCAAGTCCTTCGGAGGCCAGTTTGGCTTTCAACGTCATTTCCCTCCAAAAATCCAGACCAAGAAAATAAAATTTTTTTGTTTTTTTTTTTAAAGACTTTATTTATTCATTTGAGAGAGAGAGAGAACAAGCGGTGGGGAGGGGCAGAGGGAGAGAGAATCTCAAGCAGACTCCGCACTGAGCAGGAAGCCCGACTCGGGGCTCCAACCGAGGACCCTCAGATCATGACCTGAGTTGAAGGCAGCTGCTCCACCAACTGAGCCACCCAGGTGCCCCAGGAAAATAATTTAAAAGCCAAAAAAAGATATATATGCCAATTTGTTTATTTGTTTGTCCTCGTACACTTCATAACATCACTTTAAAATATGGAAATAAAATGGCCAACAGAAACAAACATCCAGTTATAAGATGAGTAAGTTTTGGGGATGTGATGTACACCATGGTGAATATAATCAACAATACTGTTGTATGTTTGAAAGTTGCTAAGAGTAAGGGGCGCCTGGGTGGCTCAGTCGTTAAGCGTCTGCCTTCGGCTCAGGTCATGATCCCAGGGTCCTGGGATCAAGCCCCGCATCGGGCTCCCTGCTCTGCGGGAAGCCTGCTTCTCCCTCTCCCACTCCCCCTTCTTGTGTTCCTGCTCTTGCTATCTCTCTTTCTCTGTCAAATAAATAAATAAATAAAATCTTTAAAAAAAAAAAAAAGTTGCTAAGAGTAAATCTTAAATGTTCTCAACTCACACACAGAGGCGAAAAAAATGTAACTATGTGAGGTGATGGATGTGTTAACTCTTCTTATTGTGATAATCATTTCACAATACATACATATATCAGATCATCATATTGTACACCTTAAACTTACACAATGTTATATGTCAGTTATGTCTCAATAAAGCTGGAAAACATTTTAACAAATAAGTAAAATATGTGAAGCACAAACTGTTAGAAATATAAAAAGGAAATGGTAAATCCACATAGTTTGAAAACTTCCAATTCTTTCAGAAATTAGCAGATCAAATAGATAAAAATAAAGGACATAGTAGGTATGGATAACGTATTTTACTAAGCTTGATCTAATATATAGAATTTTGTACTCATTCATTCAACACTATGCTTAAAGTAATTTACAAAATCAATCACCAATCAAAAGCTCAAAAAATTCCAGAAAACTTAAATATGGACCACATTCTCAGACCACAGGACAATAAAATTAAAAATAAATCTATCCAATTAAATAATTGTTAACCCCTTTTAAGAACTCTAGAGGTAATTAAGAAATAAAAATTGAAATTACATACTATTTAGAAAAAATAATTTAAAAAAAGAAATCACATGCTATTTAGAAATCACTGTATCATAATGAAAAAGTAGACACAATCTAAATGTCCAACTAATTGGGGCTAATTGGACAAAATATGAACAGACTATTATGCAGATATCAGGTGATATTCATGACAAACATGTTATAAAAGAAATGTGTATGGCATAAGAATTTTTAAAAGCAGGCTGGAAACCTGAATAGAAAATACGATGACAGTGATAGAAAAAAATTTAAAAAATACATCAGTATAGGCTTAGAACAAAAAAGGACAAAATATAATAATATTTAAAAAAAAAAAACTATTGAGCATGACTATAGTTACATATTGGCACCATGGTGATTATTTTTCCTTTTCTTTTCTATTTTCTATTTTCCAAAATATTTTTAGCCTAAAAAAGAAGGCAAAACTTTGTACTGATTGTATACATCTGAGGCAGAGAGAGATTCAGGGATCTGCCGAGCCACAAATTCAGTGCAGCCGCCCCCCGCTACACTGCACCCCCTGCCCCCCTGGGTCTAATCAGCTCTGGATCCACGTGAATAATCAAAAATGAGGATTCCTGTCACCAGAAGAAACAGACTGGGCCTAGTGACTTGTTAGTGGCTCACAGCATGACGCATTTTGACCAAGGGGCTCTGGTTCCAAGCACCGCCTTCCAAGTAAACTAAAACCAAACTCGGAATGATATCGGTGAAAAGGCCAAAGGAACCTCCCACCTTAGTGCTCCGAGGCTTTCCCTCTCCCAGCACCCGCCGCCGGGACCCATCTCGGCACAGCGACCTCCGCGTCCCGCGCGGGAGGCAGGGGACCGGATGCTCCCCCTGCCGCCAGGACTCCCCCCACTGACCCCATCCGCTTCCTGCCCTGTGCTGCCCTCCTCCTACTCTTCCCCCCAACCCCCGGTCCAGGGCCCCTCTGGGGGCTGCAGGTCCAAAGGCGCGAGCGAGAGGATCCCCGCCCGCGGCCCCTCCGCGCCTCGGCCGAGCGGTCCCCGCTAGGGGACCCCCGGGGAGCGACCAGGTCAGCCCTCCGACCGGGCCTCCCGGCTCCTGGAACGGCCCAGGATCTTCAGTCGGTCCCTTTTCAGGATGGAGAATTCGGAGAAACCCTAGCCTGGCCCAAAGAAGAGGGGTGCTACAAATGGGGATTTCCCCCACACACACCGATGAAGCGTTGACATTCTAGCTATTTCCAGGGACGAGGCATTGCACAGATGGCTTAAGACTAAAGGTAGCTATTGAAGCATTGGGGGGCGATTAAGAGTCTACCCCAGGTATCTCCCCGCCCACTGGTGGGCCAGAAATTCCATCTTTAGTCATTTGATCCCCTGTAAAAAGACAAATCCCGCCCTCCACCCCACCCCACTCCCCAGTAGTAATCCCGGTCACCAAAAAAAAGTCGGGCTCGAAGGAGCCCGTAAGAGGACTTGAGAGTCGGAGTGGCGATCCTGAGAAAGGCAGGGGCGGGAGCTACAGCGGGGGATACTGGGGCGAGGTGGCGAGGTTCAACTGGCCTGGGCACCGCGTGGCTGCGCGGGAGTTTGCACCTGCTTCAGTTTTGCTTGGGATCCGGCGCAGATTGAATTCAGGTTACCTCCCTCCGTCCACCCACCCAACCCCCAACAGGGTCAAAACTAGAGCAACATCGCCCCCTGCTGGACCCAGTGACCCTGAGCTTTCATCCAAGGTGGGCGACGGGCGGGCCTCTTGGCGAGCGACTGTCCTGGGCCGTTAGTCCCTGCTCAGTGAGGCCTTCCTTAGTGACTTGTAGTAAAATGCTCACCCTCCTGGAACTTCTATAACATAAATGGGTTCGATTGGGTCTTTTTGAGTTCACTCCCAACTCTAGATTCTAGATCCCTCCTCTCTCCTTCCCCTGCCAGAGGCCCTGAGGCACTCATTCCTCTTTCCACCCCCACCTCATGGTCCTGCCCAGCCTACTCTGGCACCTCAGTTTCTGCCTCTGTGTTGCGCTGAGCTCTGTGCCCTTCCGGAGCAAGGGCATAAGGCCAGGACCTGACCTTTTTTTTTTTTTTTTAATTCAATTAATTAACATGTAGAGTATTATTAGTTTCAGAGGTAGAGTTCAGTGATTCATCAGTAGCATTGAACACCCAGTGCTCATTATATCAAGTGCCCTCCTTAATGTCCATCACCCAGTTCTCCCACCCCCCCACCCACCTCCCCTCCAGCAACCCTGTTTGTTTCCTACAGTTAAGAATCTCTTATGGTTGGTCTCCCTCTCTGATTTTGTCTTATTTTATTTTCCCTCCCTTCCCCTATGATCCTCTGTTTTGTTTCTTAAATTCCACATATGAGTGAGATCATATGATACTTGTCTTTCTCTGATTGCCTTATTTCGCTTAGCATAATACCCTTTGGTTCTATCCATGTCATTGTAAATGGCAAGGTTTCATTTTTTGATGGCTGAGTAGTATTCCATTGTACATATATACCACATCTTCTTTATCCATTCATCTGTCCATGGACATCTGGGCTCTTTCCATAGTTTGGCTATTGTGGACATTGCTGCTATAAACATTGGGGTGCAAGTGCCCCTTCAGATCACTACATTTTTATCCTTTGGGTAAATACCTAGTAGTGCAATTGCTGGGTCATAGGGTAGCCCTATTTTTAACTTTTTGAGGAACCTCCATACTGTTTTCCAGAGTGACTGCACCAGCTTGCATTCCCACCAGCAGTGTAGGAGGGTTCCTCTTTCTCCGCATCCGAACCAACATTTGTTGTTTCCTGACTTGTTAATTTTAACCATTCTGATCGGTGTGAGATGGTCTCTCATCGTGGTTTTGATTTATACTTCCCTGATGATAAGTGATGTTTAGCATTTTTTCAATTGTCTGTTGGCCATTTGTATGTCTTCTTTGGAGAAATGTCTGCTCATGTCTTCTGCCCATTTCTTGACTGGCTTGTTTGGTTTTTGGGTGTGGAGTTTTATAAGTTCTTTATAGATCTTGGGTATTAAACCTTTAACTGATAAGACATTTGCAAATATTTTCTCCCATTCTGTCGGTTGTCTGTTGGTTTTGTCGACTGTTTCCTTTGTTGTGCAAAAGCATTTGATCTTGATGAAGTCCTAATAGTTCATTTTCGCTTTTGTTTCCCTTGCCTTTGGAGATGTGTCTAGCTAGACGTTGCTGCCAAGGTCACAGAGGTTGCTGCCTGTGTTCTCCTCAAGGATTTTGATGGATTCCTGTCTCACATTTAGGTCTTTCATCCATTTTTTGTTTATTTTTGTGTACGCTGTAAGAAAACGGGGCCTTGACTTTCTTTAGGGGCCACTGTTTCCGGGGTAAGAGTGGGAAATGTGCTGGCTGCCCTGTTAAGGTCCTTGCCGTGCACAGAAAAATGAATTCTGTGGGAAATGGTGGGAGGGCTTCAGGCTCTGATTCAACCAGGGTGGGTATTTTAGACTTCTGCCAAGGTTAGCCCAGAAAATGATGCAGAATGAGCAACTGAGAAGAGAAGAAGATTTGCAGTCCTTACAATGACCCCACCTCCTCTCCATCATCAACTCTGCCTCAAAGGACCTGGCTGGTGCGGGTTCCCCAAACACACTGCGCCGCTTCTGGCCACCTTGCCTTTGCAACAATGTGTGCCTTCAGCCTGGCTCCCCAGCTCTGCACTTGGCCTCCTTTAAGACTGGGTTAAGGCACAGCTGTGCCCATGGCCCTGGTCGCCCTCCCCCAGCCTCTCTCTGCTCCCCGCGCCCCCAAGGATGGTGACTTTGGCTGGGCTCCTGTCCTCGCTGCACCCACCACATCCTGGCACCCCCATCTGGCGTCACGTGTTTCCTTGCCTGTCCCCACTGCTGGCGCGTCTCTCAGCACGGGGACCTGCAGAACTCGAAGAGGTCCCCTGAAACAGGACACCAACTGCACACCCCACCCGTACCCCAGCTCCATGTAGCTCCTCTGCCCCGCACAAC